CTTGAACTATTTTCAAATTGGTGAAATTTTTTCGTAGTGCATTGCCTATCGTTTTGACGTAATTGAATTAATAGCATATTATTTACCGATTGATCTTTCATGTTGTTTAAGGAGGCATTCAGTTTTTTAGGAATAAAAATTGATCACGTGCTTCTCTATTGTCGTTTTCAATGTGTGTGACAACCTTGACGAATTACATGGAGTTGTCTCCGAGTCTTCCTTTTGGTGATTCAAGGCCACCGTTCTCCAGAATAATGAATTATTTCTTTACGGTATCTGATCTAGGTTGTGTTTAATTGATTTGATAGGCGACAGAATTTGCGGTGTTTGATGTCTTCTATACAAGTCAGAATTCTTTCCTCAATCAAATTTGCACAGCCAATTAATTAGTTTCACTTTCTTAATAAAATGCTACAGAGGTCTTTTCCCTACCTCTTAACGTCCCAGTGTAAAGCTTAGGATCTATTTATTATTTTGGTGGAAAGTGCGTTGTCCTATTTGTTGCACAATGTTAAACTATAGTATTAATCATTGTGGGAGGTCTCGGCACTCACTGAAATGCCATGTCCTTAGAGTGTGAATGCATATCTCGCGCCGTAAACGTCGCTACCTCTTTTCCAGCTCTCTTCAACTCCACCCTTAAACCGTGTACACCCCTCGGAGTAGCTATAAAAACCAACACTCTTAACAATATCCACTTAATAATATTCAATTTTTAGTTATAGGGCATGTCGCCCTCCCTCTTCATCTCTTTTTTTTCTTGCCGTCTTAATTGTTTTAATCTTAGTTTAATCTAATTCTCTTTTCTACCAGTCCCTAGGTCCTGCATGTATGTGTGCGTGTGTGTGCGCGCTCGATTAGAATCACGATGTGTGTGACACATTGGGTGTCAATTTGTTGTCTGGGATTTCCTGAATTGAGCTAAAGTGCACCCTTATCACACAAACAATACGTGCTGACCAGGTTATAAATCTGATAAGGCAATTAATTGCCTCGCTGCATTACTACTTACTCGCTTAGGGGTTCTTGGTATAAAGGAAAGGCTGAAAATGCTGTCATTGATCATCCCGGAATTTAAATTGTCAGTCGAGGTAACAATTAACTTTCAAGCCGAAAGTCCTATTGCAAGCCATACTACTCAAAGCCAAAATGTTCTTTTCATTCCGCTGAACAATTTGGAATTTGGAATAATTCTATGAGAGCATTTATATCCGGCAGATGAAGAGAAAATAAAGAGGAGTGGTTGCATGGCAAATCTCTTCCTTTTGATCCTAAAGCACTTGAGTGATCGCTAGTGCTATTCATAAAATGTGTTGGCATCAATGGCAGTACTTTCCTCCCCCTTAATGTAATAAAATGAAATTATAAGGTTGACATCGGAATGCCATTATTCGTGTTTCTTGAGAAATGTTTTCACATTACATCGGATTGGCAAAACATGCATCAGATCAAGTACTTCAACCTTAACTTATCTCAGGATACTTTCTTTATACCCATAGTTGAGTATTGTTTGTGTGACTTATTCTAACATCATATTTCATAAGTTTCCTTTATTTTAATGCTGTAGTTATTTAAACTTGGTGCTATAGTTATTTTCTTGTCTTTGAATATTTTTTTTCGGAGAATACATTGAGTTTAAGCAATTAAAGAAACGGGTTACTTGCCAGTTTCTATTTTCAAATGTTTACTCTTAGGCGGGTATCTTAGAGCTGCCCTGTGTGTGCTATTCTATTTATTTCACAGTGTGTGCAGTCTGATTTCTCCTGAATGACCTCTTTATTTTATTTATTAATTAAGCGTTATCGGTACAGCAAGCCTACCCGCGTCCCTTCGTATCCAACTTTTCTAATTAAATTTATTCTATAATGAAAAAATGTCTCCTGGGGGGTGGGGGGTGGGGAGAGGGGAGGGGGTATTTGAACGTGTTCATTAGTTAATTATATTTCAGGTCTTTTTCCGATATTAATTTCCTAATAAAATGGCTCATTCGTAAATGTTCAAGTATCATTTTTCATTTCTTTCTTTCTGTCCCTGTCGTTTTGTTATACGCACACGGTTTTTGCTTAGAGTCGGCACTCACCTTTTATTTGAAAAAAATGGCACTTCTTTTTTCCTTCCCTAATTACATTTTAATATCACCTTGGGCTCTAACTAGATTGGCAAACTGTTTGGCTAACCTACGATACAGGAAAATATATTGATTTTTCTCTACTTAGTTTATTTCTACTACGCTTTTCTATTGGTTTCATACAGCTCTTGCAATTGAATGGACGGACCTTATACTAGTTCCCTCCATGGTTATTTCAGCTGAATGCTTCACTGTTGAATCTTGGAGCCTTTGGAGTTAGTTTATTAATCTCTTGAATTCGAATTTATGATGGGGCTCATTAACTCTTTTCCATTTCTCTTCTAAATTAAGCATTAGATTCAACAGAAGTGATACAGGACACTTACTTATTATCACAATCGAAAAAGGTGGGGTGGGGGAGGGGAGGAAGCAATAAAAGAGAAGTATTTTGCCCCGAAAAGAAAATACCTTTTGTGATCAGTAAATTGCCCCCCAATTCCCAGTGTTTATGCTCATCACCAGTTTTATATGGACTTTGGGGGGAGGGGGAGGGGGGGGGGGGGGGGGGGGGGGGGTGCATTTTCGTTTCATGATAATTAACGATAGCAGGTATGTTGAATTTAGTGGGTTCTGCCGTACTTACTTGAAAGAGCGGGCTGTGGGGTGGGCTGGAGGGACTTTTTTTTGTTAAAACTTGCCTAAAAATTTTAGCTTCATTTAACCCCCAACTCCTTTCACCTAAGTGTAATTGTTGAGGCCAAACACGCACGAGAGTAGTTATTAGAGCGGAAATATTTTCTTTCTTTCTTAGTGCAAAAAGACTCTCAAGTGGATTATGAGTGATCCATCTTATCTGAATGTAAAAGTATTGCAATAGTAATTGAATTGAGTGAATCGAATGGTTGTAGTTTACAAATCATTCACCAACTTAATAGCCCCATTGGATGTTAACCGAGTTTATTTTATCAAATAAAGTGACCATTTAGCGTTTGTCTCATAGATACAAGTGTCTCAATTTCCCATCTTTTTCAATTTACGGATGTTCTTCTAGTGTAGTTTCGCAGTTCACATGGGTATTCAAGGTTCCGCCATAATTCTTCCGCAATCAATCGAGTTTCTGATTTAACCAGGGATTTTAACACGTCATCATCACAATTTGTAGATTGTCCTCATTCTCGTAAATCATATGTGACTTTCCTATTGCCCAATGTTAATCTTTGACTTCAATATTGACATTGGGGAACAGTTGGCACTTGAGCATAACTTTCAGTAGTGGCTTTGGTGGCTGCTTCTGCAGGTTTTCAAGCTCCGATGAACGAAAGGCAACATACAATGCCTGGCGTGTTCTCTGCCTTGCTCGGGTTTGCAAATTTTACCGCTAACAATGAAATGAAATTTTTTGATCATAAGTAGTGTTGAACAATTTGTCACTAGGCTGAAACATACAAATTTGCACAGTTTACTGTATTTGGACACTAACGGAACTCAAACACCTGTTTGCACGATTTCTAATGTAGGGTATATCCAAAAAATTAGGAACGCCGGTGCTTGTTAGGGCAGGCTTCAATGCACTTCGTTATTTCCTTTTTTTTCTAGTATGCTTAGTATGGGAGCTAAAAGTGGATGTGCGAGCACACTTGAACTTACTTAGAGGGCTCAAATTAGATTACTCTGAAATCTCAAATCATTGAGGATTCATAGGTCAAAATTTCAATAGCATAAGCAAAACTTGTTTTTAATGAACATTAGTAACTGACAGTCGTTGTGTTTTATTGCCTCTGGGTTCATCTATACAACCTGTCATTTTGAATGAACTAGATAACTTTTAGACATTTCATCCTTTGACACATCTCCTCGATAAATTGAACAATGCTAACAATTATTGATTTCCCTTCAACGTAATTAAAAACCCCCAGCTGCTTACTAGTTTTTATTAATTTAGTTTTATTTGGATGCTTTGTAAACAATATGCCAATCTGCATAGCCCTAATGCTGTCCGTCTACATCTTTAAAGTTTGCAGGCAAATATTTTACCAGAAACTTATTTAAGACTTTTATTCATGCAGCAAAATTCATCATCTCATTCATCCCATCGCATTGACCTTGCGAGGCCATTTTTACTTCATGCTTGTTATAGCACGCAAGCCCATTTTCCGGATGCCACTTATAATAGCACTCCTAAAGATATCAGCAGTACTTGTAATTAACCGTCTATCTCATTTAAATGGCTTTTCCCTCAGAACAAATTCGGTCAAATTTCTCAATCTCTAGTCAAGCTATATTCTTGCTGAGGAGTTTAGCTATTCTAGTTCAGGAATGGCGCGCTTGTCACTAACATTTCTTCAATGGAAACAAGTTCAATTTGTCTGCAACATGTTCGTCTGAAAATTGTGCTTTAACCGCTCTTATCACCTTGTTAGATTTCGCTTTCGCATCGGTTCCATCTCTAAATCGGCTACTAGTTTTAGTTACAAAGTCTGGAGTCGGATGAGAGGTAGGCTACACAGAGAGGAAGGAACATCAAAGTGAAAAAGTCGAGAGGGGGGGGGTGGGACAGAAGAGTGTTTCAAAGACGAGGATAGAAAAGGTAGAAAAAGGGTGAGGTGAGTACTGTGAAAGTAGTCAAATATGACATAGAGTGGGGTGATGGTCGTTTGAAGTGGGAAGTCAACTTCCAGTTAATCGACCGTTTTTGCCGTATGAGTATACGTTGCCCAGGGTGTACCACGTGGAGTTAAGAGGTTAATTGTGTTATTTTAGAGGATGGATAATTTGGATAGCGTTAGCAGATAACTAACTATGGCTATGTGCATACATTGATCCACATCAATGTATGAGGGCTGTCAACGTCGTATCTAGGATAATTGTGTTCAATTTTAAGTACCACAGGGAAGAGATATCGGTACTCTATTTCATTTGCTGTTTGTTTTAGATATGCGACTTTGGTTTGGCTCGATTAAATCACCCCATGCACGATCACAATGGAATGCTCACAGAATACGTTGCAACTCGATGGTACCGGGCTCCTGAAATCATGCTCAACTCCAAGGGATACACCAAGTCGATTGACTTGTGGTCTGTTGGTTGCATCTTAGCTGAAATGTTCGACCGACTACCCATCTTCCCTGGCAAACACTGTTAGCTAAATCCTCAATTAAGCTTGAGTCCATTGAATAAGGAGTCCATAACAACATATTTCCCTTTTTTAGATGTTGACCAACTCACACTTATCCTTCAAGCTCTTGGGTATCCTGCAATGTGTGATAGAGAATGGATAGTCAACAATAAGGTGCGTTTTCAGCTGGTATCTTGTGATATCTACAGCGCCAGACTTTTGTTTATTTATTTGTTATCCAATTGCTGCGTTAGACACAGAAATTGAAAGATCTCCAGGCGTTAAAATCTGATCAACCCCCCTCGTTTGTTTCAATTCATAGATGCTTTGTTAACCAAACCATATTTCCGCATTGAGATGGAGATAGGATTTCGATTTCAATGTTTTTTCATTTACAAAGGATCTCTGAGTGGGTTTAATTTCCCCATCATGCTCATGTAACAAATATGTACTCCCTTTCTCCCAATTCCTGCCTTGAGATGGAATTCCTGCTCATTCGCATTTTGAGGAATGGGTCGCCATATGGTCTTTGCTGATTCTTTGTGTCTTTTATTTGAAGCAGGTGGCCATCTTTCTTTGTTCTGAATTCGCTAAATCCTTCGAAGTTGCTACATACTAAAAATTATGCTACAAGGGCTCTACTTTTTTTAATTTGGAATGATTTAGAAAAAAAATGTTCGTTTTTTTGTCCGCGGTCATTTTTCTGTTCACTTTAAAGCAGCAGCAGCAGTCCTTCTTTCATTTGGCAAAGACGAGAAATTCGGTTGCCTTGGAATAGGTTATTGATTAATTGTTTCCCCTTACGTCTGTCCGTTCTCCCCTTTGCTGCAAAATTTTTGGCACTGTTTGCGTTCCATTGTGGCCATATTCTAGGTTTATGTTGACACTATGGGATAACTTCCAAGCGAATCACTTAAGAATTCCAAACTCAGATGGAGTCTGGTGGGGGCAGAGCGAGAGAGTTAAGAAAAAAGGAAAGATTTAGGTGGACGGATCAAAAGACCTTTTGCTCATTTGAATTTTGAATTTCTCAGGCTGCCTCCCTTAGGAGAGAGAAAATTGTTGCAATCCCAGTTTCTTGATGAAAACGACAAAACTCAGCCGACTTCCATTCTATTAGTAACTCTGCGTCTACATTATTTCTTAAGACAATAATTAAATTAATTACTTGCCCACACTTGAAGCTGTTTAAAGCCCCAAAAGGTGGCATGGAATAGCTCAAGTGCAAGGAACCGTTTATTTTAGAGAAAGCTGCTATTTGCCAGAATGTCATAATCTATCATAATTGCGAAAACTTCTTTATTCAAGTGTTTATTGAGTTGTTTTGGTCATAGTTTTTGCATCCCAGTTTTTGGACCCTGGTTGTCCTGACATCGTCTCCGACACCCAGGGAACGTGAGACTTGGGGAGACATCAACGACGAAGAGACAGCTGCAATGTCCCCCTAGTTATAGGAAGCGTGATCTAAAATACGATTTTATTAGGGCAAGTAAATATGAAAGGGCACAATGTATGTGAGATGCATGAAAGATGGCTATGGGACCCAGGAAACAGAAAGTATACAAAATGTGAAAGGATGACCACGGTTCTTCTTATTTGAATGTGCGTGGCGTTGACAGGAATGGATTATTAATCCATAATAAGAGATAGGTGCTTCGCTACTTCTTTTATAAGTATTAGAGTAGCATGTTCTCGCATAACTAATTATCCTTTTTTAATGCGTTAGTCCTTTTACCAATTGCTTTTATATTAGTCCCAGTGGTTTTTTTCTGCTCATTTTCATCAATCCTCCCTAGCTGAGTTTCTTACTGATAAATGATACTCATTAGTGAGATGGATTTAAGCAACTATTACGTTCTGGTAGTTCTTTTGGCTTCTTTTTTTCAAACTGTGCTAATATTGTCAAACCCTTACTTTATTAAAACAAGATAACTTTAAAATAGATGCATAATTGTATTCTTTGAAAAAAAAATATATATATTATTATACTGCCATCACCTACCGTGTAGGATGCACGGATCTGCATTATAATGCATGGCAGTAGAAGTTACTTCTCACGTAATTAGTAGTAGTATAGCTGTTTGAGGGATAAGTAATTATTGGCACCCACCCGCTCTCCCTCTCTTTGTGTTATAGTCTACTTTCACCGACTGCAAATTTCCTCCTCCTCCCCCTCCCCCCTCCCCCCATTTCACTCCTTGCCAATGTCTCTTCTAGCCTTCTTCACTCTCAAAAAAAGTCATATTTGGCTGCGTCTTGTGTTTAACTAATCCATTGAAGGTAGAATATTCGTGGATATTTTAATATCACTATCACCGGAACTGAGTAGCTATAAATTGGCCCCTTTTCTGTCTTTTTACTCAACTACAAGTATCACATTTCAGCTGAGTAGTGAAAGAAGGTAAGAAAATAGCATTAATTCCACTACTTCCAGGAGATCTATTGTTCCTATCTAAAAAACATCATTTGTCGTGATTTGCGTTTTGCATGGCATCATACTAACTTATTTATTTTGTCTAATTCACGTTTTCCCCTAGCACTGTGCATCTTAGGATTTCTTTTCTCGCTTGAATTTTGACTGAAATATTTCACATTGGAAAAATTTTGGATTGGGTCCATTTATTGCCCCCCACCCCTCCTATTGTAAAGTACTTACATAAATCTTGGGTTTGTGCCATAGAATTCCAAGGGCTTCTGCAGAAATCCTTTTTTGGATTTATCTATCATGTGGGACTTGTGAAAGGTGTGCGCAAAATTACACGCATGAAGTGTTTAATTGTTTGCGTCATCATTGACTCGATTACATTAGGTTTGATTTCATAAATGACTTCGACTGTGCAATAGCACTTGAAGGGCAATTAAGAGTGTGGCATTGAATTAACATTTGTTCAATTGGTATTCAAGTGTGAACTTGCTCCATAAATGGCATGGTAGGCTCCGGAACCAAAATTGAAATTATTTCGACCTTGAGCTACAACTGCCATTGTTTTCAATACTATTTTCATGAATAGATCCTCTAACTTCATGCAATCTACAATGGAGAAACTTTAATTTATCAATTGAAAGGCTTTTTTGCGATCTAAGCATAATGAAAAATGAGTGTATCGCATTGTAGCCAGTTTTGACACCAGTATCCAACCTCCCTCCCCACTTTTCCTTGATATGAAATTTGGATCTTCTAGCTTAAATATTTCAAGTGATATTTAGTGGTGAGGTGTGACTTTGGACTATTATTTTAGAGACTAGTCTTCTCTCAGAGAAATCAAGTCTGAAAGTAAAATGTGGGTTATAGATCTGCAGTTAGACTAGCGATTTCTTGAAATCGGTATTAAATACCCTCTCTTAGAGAACTTCATGTACAATAAAAAGTTATATTTGTCTAATTTTCATTTTTTTTCCATCCCTTTTTTTCCTTTTTCACCTCAACACAAACCTTGAGATTTCTCAGGTTTCAACTCAACTTTGCGCTTATCACGCTAGTTTCTGCGAAGCAATCGGACGTGCCATTACCAACGCAGGTTTTGAGTTTTTCTCGTCAGAAATGTTTCGACTGCATTGGTCATCTTTTGAATACATCTTTTATTTTTTCCTGCTATTAGAGTTGTCGCTTTATTTACTTCGAATAAATTATTATTATATTAACTGAAAACTCCAGTCAGTTAATCTAAAATGTGCGTATTCAGATGCATATGTACGGTGGCCTCAGCCTTGGTCCTATTCCCAAACGGATACATTTTTTTGGTTACTTTTTCTTTTCAGGCTGCTGTCTTTGTAAATCGATTCGAGAATTGCGTGAAACAGCCCTGGAATCGTCGGTATCCTAACGCTTCCCCTCAAGGTGAGATGCTTTTTCAGCCTATTTAAGAGTCAATTATCATTTACACCCTAGTATTGATTGCCCTTTTAACCGCTGTGAGAACTTGTCTGCTTGCTCTCTGACACCTATGAGCTCGTGTGAACCTCTCCTTTTTCTTTTACATAAAGTTAGCAACCACAAGTGGAGGGTGGGGGGGGGGGGGGGGGGGGGGGGGGTGCGAATTCGGATTTTGAGAATTTCGTTTTTCACTTTTAGCCTTTTCTCTTACTGCAATTTTGCATAATACTCATTTTATTTATCGTGAGTTTACTAAGCAGTAGCAGTGGTATCAAATGGTTCCTCGTGAGCTCTATAGCCTTGCATCACTTTTGTTGTCTCTTTCTGACAAGAGATGGGGCGAAAGGTGAGTCTATTTTTAGCGACGATGCTGGAGAAGGAAATTTGTTAAACCTTTGAGTTAATCTTTCCTCCTTATTTTCCTGATGAAGGGAGGGTGCATTAAACTTAGAAATTATTAAATTTTTAGTCTCATAGTTAATGTCGTAACTTGGCAGGATTGAAGGGCATTTCTATAGACAGGTCTAAGGTCCCGGGATATATGTAGCAAACGACAAATGTATCATACTGCGAGTTCCTCGTCAGAGAGTTTTCAGATGTTAGCCCTCCCTCCAAGGTGATTGGTGGTAAGCATTCCGTTTGCAGACTTAGGACTCGTTTTGCCCAATGGTGGAATAAAAGGGAATAGCCCGTAATTCACCCCAACTACCTCTACGCGACTGACAACATTAAAGGTATTTCCCTAATGCTTCTCTATTCAACATTTTCCCAAATGTGGCAAAAGGCTGCGCATAAATTGGAGTGTCGTTAAGTCACTGCTCTTTTGTATCAATGCCTTTTTTTATTTACCTAACGTATTTTCTGCTTAAACAGTGACTTCGGTGTTTTTCTATTGGTCGTCATTATTACCCTTCAGAGGCTTTAATTGCCAGGCTAACTGTTGGAATGGTAGTGTAGCACTGTTTGCTAGTGTAGCATAGAATAATAAATGGCTCATGTTAAATCGTAGGGGATGCATATCCTAAAATTTTAGCGTCAAGGTATTTGGATGTGATAGCGAAGAAATTATTATTTACCGAAAAAAGAATGAAGTAGCCTATTGGAGAGGGAAGGCGAAAAGTTGCTTAAGCATGCACCGGAAGTGCGGTATCTTTTTTTAACTTTATCGCCATATCACTTCGCATCATAACCACGGGAGGGAGATATATACTATGATAAGCCCACTTTCTGGCCAATCACATTCTGCCACATCGACTAAGGAATTACAATTGTTGAATCTATCTTCTCCGGTCAATCTCACTCAGGGCTAGCTCTACATTAAAGATTATAAGTAGTTCATAAATTATATCCAATAATTGTATTTGTACCGAATTGTTATCACCGAGTTATATCTTTGCTTTCGGAGTAATGGTGCCAACTCTATCATATAGGGGCTTAACTACACGCTCTAATACCTTTGATTGCTGAATTTGAATCAGGTAAAGCATATGGCGTCTGGGCTTTATGCTTCACTTTTAGCATTCAGTTCCCGTTCAATGCTAATCAAATCGTTTCACTGTTTAGATGTAATGAATTACTTTGTACTTGGAGTATCTGGAGGCCTTCTAGGGCTTCTAGAGATAGATAGATCGCGAACTTTGATTGTTCGCTTTGCTTTTGGCAAAAAGAATGCAATTCTCCACCGCTCTCCTGTCTTTCATATTTCGGTGAATTTTCTCTCCACAGATAACTTGGAGCTTGGCAATCAACTAAATCAGTCTGTTTCTCAGGAGAATTATTGTTCAATACCTGCGTTAGGGTACTAGTTTTTTTGCTCCATTTTGTCTATTTCATTATATCGACAGGGAATCCTAACTACCTCTATCGTTATTTGAAGCCCATTTGTAAGCTATGATGTTGTGGTCAGTTCAATGGTAATTGTTGAATAAAGTGGTGTGTAGTTGGCTGGTACTTGGCTACTTCACTGGATAAGGTAATAAATGCTGAGACTGGAATGTGTGGCATCACAGCTCTAAGACCCTTTTTTTCCTTTAATTGCTTCCCATTTTTCTTGCCTCTTCCCTCAATTCCCTACTTATCACTGACCATATGCGTGTATGGTAGGAGGGTTGACAAATGATTTTCCTTCATATATTCCATATGCCTCCCAATTTCTCGGTACATGAATTCAACTAAAAATCACCCTTACCGTACTTCCCATTTCTCTTACTTGGAGACACTGCAGTCTTTTCTTTTACTATTTTCCTCTTAAAGTTATCTAATTTGTGTCGTTTCTGTTCGCGCCCCAATGGAACATTTGGGTTTTTCATCGTTGAATTCATTCCAACATTTGATTGTACATTTGCATGCAGTTTGATATTGCTATCTCTCCTACTGTGTAGGCTGATGTGTTGTAGTTAACTGAAGACTTCTACTGAGCCACCAGGAGCCGTATAAGCCACTGAACACCAGATTAAGCATTACGTTTAGTCAGCGAATGTTCCATCAATTCGAAATTTACACGACTCGTGACACTCTCTTTTTATAATTTGCCCCAAATGTGTCAGCATCTCATTTGAATGAGAGGCTGCATTTCATCACCCAAAATGATTCTCTCTAGTTTGTTGCACCTTACAAAGGAAGCCTGATACAAACATATTAGCCTACAAGTACTGACCACACAAGCACTTAATTTAATGGGTAATAGTAGTGGACAATTTTTAGCAATTATTTTTAAAATCGAATGTCCTTTGAAATTTCATTTGTGGTTTCTCGTTTTTTTGTTATTTACTATTATTATTATTAGTATTCCCACCTGTCTATTCAAATGGTTAGTTCTATGCTATCTTGTGACGGAGTGAAGGACAAAAATCTGCCACTCCACATAGCATTGTTTGCTGATCTTTGCCATTGATCTTGGAAACTCATGTTAAAGCAAATGAATATTTTAGTGGTGCTGTGTGAGATTACGTTACATGGCGGGTCTTTGATCCTCCCATGTTAAATTATTACTTTCTACTGCATCGATTACTTGCTCATATTTCAGCATTGTATATTGCATTCTTACCCTATCGCGCATTCATTTTGAGTGAGCTATTTTTCCTCCCTCCATTCAAGCAAAACAAGGTCAAAAAAAATTCCGTTTATTTTTTTTTGCTTAACTCTTTTTGTTGTCGAGGCGCCTTTCCTAAGTCTGCGTTTGTTTGAAATGAGATTATGCTTTGTATTCATTAAGTTTTTTTTGTGATATTTGGCGAATTAATAAGTCCTTTTTCAGGGTGATTATCATCGCCAAGTGGAAATACTCTGTGGTAGACAACTTATCTTGCTTTCAATGTGTCAAACATACTGTAAGCAACTTGTTGCCTCTCCCCACTCAAGTGCAACAAGTGGACCGACATTTTTTTACTGTTAGCAAACAAAATAGCACTTATTATTTTATGCCGTTTCGGACTAAATGTAAAGCTCGTTGGTAATTAATTCGGTTCTTTAACTAGTTTAAAGATAGTACCCACTAACACTCTCCTTGCTAAAATGAAATCATTCCGAAACACCCCTGGGTTAGGAAACGCAACTTCGATCACTATTCTTTTGGGAAATATAACGATACAGTTGGCTACTAACTCCAAATTTATTGTTTTTTATTTGTCTATTAACCACCGCATCAATGTCACTTTGAGTTGTGGCGAAATGTCCTTAGAATGTGAATTGTCGGTGTATTTTAACTATTAATCTTTCCTTACTCACTTATAGCCTTGGACCTCCTGGATCGGCTATTGGCTTTCAATCCAGCCTCAAGAATCACTGTTGAGGAGGCCCTGCAACATCCCTACCTAAGGTCTTTCTACGAACCCAAGGATGAGGTAACAAGACTAATCTCCTCCCAAGTCCAAGTCCCTTAGTTGGCGTTAAATGCATACTTGGCAATCAAGATTTCGTGGCTATTTAAGCTGAATGGATGATCCATCATATTTCACTTTTTTTCTTATCATTTCTAGATATTGGTAATATTATTACCCTTAGTGAACATTGTGTAAAACATTACCATACTATAAAGTCATGATTCTTTTAAGGTATGAAATGGAGGAGGAGGAGGAGGAGGAAGATTTGAGGTTGAATTGACATTGAAGTGTGGTGGACAGTAGGACCCTAATCGTGTTTGAATTCTATAGGAGTTAATTGCACGTGTTCCCTTCTGCAGTATAGGTTACTTTTAAACGCTCTAGTAAATGCCTTGGCACAGTGGACTACATTTCCCTCGTCTTCTTTTTTCTAGTGTGATAAATTTCGCCAAGCAATAAATATCCTATTTATTCATTGACACGCGAATACTCCCTCATTCCCTCACCAATATACTTACTTTAAATGGAAATGAGTGCGCAAAAGTGAATGCTTTTTTCGAAATCTTAGTTCTAGTGAGTAGTGGCTGTATATATATTCCATTTGTGGTCAAATTAAGTGGATTTGTTAGCCAATTGCCATCAAGTAAAAGTAGCGGTGAAAACAATTGCGCATTGTCAAGTGCTCAATTCAGACTTTGAACGCGTTATAAAATTGCATGCGTGTGTGGATTTAAAAGGCGTCAAGAGTACAGTCAAGGCAACAAAGTGCCCTGGTTAGTTCTATTTTTATTCGACTAGTAGTTTATTTAAAAAGTATTTTTGTTTTATTGAGCAAATTACTGATCTGGTTAAGTAACCAGAGTAGTGGATCTTATCATTTCAAGTTCTTTTTCTTCATCTCTTCCAAGTGTCGATAAAGCAAAATGACCTCACACAACATCTAGCGATTTTACATGATCTTAATACAGCAGTGTACACTCAGGACGACTCAGCTATATTCAATACTTATTTTCCCCCTCCATTTAGCCGGTTTGTGAGAACCCCTTCGAATACGAAGAAGAGAAAGTGGACGAACAACCAATAGAGAAACTGAAGCAGATGATGTTTGACGAGGTTCGTGAACTCCACCGACGTCAAGAGCAAGCAGCTGAAGAAGCCGCATCCGCATCGAAAGCGTAATTTCTACAGTTGGCCTTGTTGAAACGAGATTTCTGATTTAACTCCTACCCTCTTTCCTTGATGACCTTTATTTGCGCCACAATTCCTCCACCCCCCACCTACCACCTCCACCCCTTCCCGATAAACCACATCATTCCCCTCTTACCCCATAATTAAAACCCCACTAATTAGTACACAGACAGATTGTTGGGAGAATCGACTGATGATTTACTACCAGACACAGACTGTCTCAAATTGACATTACTGTCGGACACTAATTAATTTCTGGCCTCCTCGACCCAAAGCCCGTGAATTGTGACTTATTTTAACCAATTTGATGTGTAAATGCTTTGGAGTTTTTCTAAGTAGACAGATAGCAGTCTCATTTTTTTGCACTTTTGGAATTTCGTCTATGGCAATGAAGCAACTTGGTGTGACAGCTGCTTCACCAACTTATTTTGGATATTTCGATATACAGTGGAAAATTAGTGTATGAGGAAACCACAACCTTTAAAGCAACTTTAGAGACCCGGACTAAAAATTGTGTCTTAGCCAGTTTTATGGTGAAAGTGTTTAGTGTTGATGAGGGATTGTCAAGTGCATTCGTGACCGGTTGTCTATTAGCTCCTGATTAGAATTCAATGGATTTTGGGTTGTGGCAACTGTTGATCCTATGCTTATTAAGCATAACCACAGAAGAGGGTATGATACTAACAGAATAAACACTAAAGTTTGAATAGTTTCAGAAAGCCTTGACCACATTGATATTTTGCTATCAATTACCATCTAGACGATGGAGCTCTGATTTAAAGTTGTGTCGCCAGTGATAAAAACAAAGGTGAATCTAATAAATTTCTAGGCATCCACTCAGGCTACTGCCATTGCTCAGATTTAGCAACAAAAATGACGTATCTTAAAAACGATTCTCCTACTAAGAGATTGGTAGATTAATTTAAAAAGAAAAAACATTGTTCAATGATGAAACGATTAGGACTGTCTTGCCAATAATTGCAACCTTAGCTAGAGTGCATTCCCAGGCGTGAGCGCAAAATCTCTAACATCGATAATCTGAAGCAGATGTCCTGAAGGTATTAGAGTTGACCTCCCAAAATCTCGACACGCACACATATTTCGAAATGGGATGTGCGATAAACTTACCTCCACGTGGTGCACCCTGGGCAACGTATACTCATACGGCAAAAACGGTCGATTAACTGGAAGTTGACTTCCCACTTCAAACGACCATCACCCCACTCTATGTCATATTTGACTACTTTCACAGTACTCACTTTACCCTTTTTCTACCTTTTCTACCCTCGTCTTTGAAACACTCTTCTGTCCCACCCCATCTCTCGACTTTTTCACTTTGATGTTCCTTCTCCTCTGTGAANTTCACAGAGGAGAAGGAACATCAAAGTGATAAAAGTCGAGAGGGGGGGGGGAGGAACAGAAGGGCGTTTCAATGATGTAAATGAGACAGATAAAAAGGTAGAAAAAAGGCGAAGTGAGTACTGTGTGGTCATGGTAGTTTGAAGTCAGAAGTCAACTGCCGGTTAACAGACCTTTTTGCCGTATGAGAATACGTTGCCCAGGGTACAACACGTGGAGGTAGGTCTATCACACACCCCATTGATATAAATAAATAAATATATTTCGAAATTAAGGGAGGAGTAGAGATGGCTGAATCGAGAAATTATTTTCCTTTTAAAATGCCAATTAATTCAATGCTAAACGGTGGCGCAGCGGATTCACATGGTGTCCTAATCTTTCAAACCTAAAGATCACTCACCATCTCACTAAAAGTACGCAGTGAAGTAAGCTTGAGCTGATTCAGCGGGAGAATATCAAACCAAATTGCCTGCTGAAATGCAGGAAACTGGAGGTGGGCATAACATGTGAAGCATGGCATTTGATTTAATTTTAACAAATTTTTTTCTTACTTGATGAAAGGTAGCAGTACATTTCACTGGCCACATATGACCTCGACAAACTAGGTCAACAGCAAGCTGTCGCCGTAAGGTGTCAGTCTCTCTGATTAGAGGTTTTTGATCGCATCTGCACTGCCTTTTCAAAAAAAAGTTGGCTAAGTTAAATGTCTATTAACCTTGAGTCAGTTGAAGGATTCCCACACTAAAAATCCTTACTAACCTGGTTTAGTGTCTGAGTATTCGCTCAGTTACCAATATTAATCAGGCGGAATACCAGAAGTGAGGGAAGTCTGTGAATAACAAATAAAAAAGAGGCTTATTATAAAGCCCACTAACTAATTCTATGAAAAATAAAAAATAACACCATCAGTAATTGAATGTAATTAAAGTTACTTTAAATGTGCATTAATCGCCCATTAGTCGAGAAGACCTCTGCAAGTGGGTCCGCACTTTATACAAAATTCATGTTAGTTTAGTAGATTCTGAGGTCATAGGACAGTTTTGGGGTTTCCTGCTGTCAAATTCATTGCAGGAAATGTAGCGAATGAAAGCCCCAGTGAAATCCGATGTCAAAAGTAGGGTCATATAAAGCATGAAAACGTTTGCTTGACGTAGAAAATCCATCAATCCTTGTTTTAAAATAACTAGCAGGGTGATTAATTAATATGCATTATAATTTAAACGAAGAATACCCAATGGTGTTAACTAATTTCTCCCCCACTGAAATGTGACCTCAAAATTTGACAAGGTGTTCTAGTCAAATATCAAATCCCTTGAATTTATTGACTGTTCTGGGGACCTCGCAGGACCAATTAGTAGAAGGCTTTTATGAATTGTGGTATTTTGAAAAAAAATTGTTGAAGAGAATAACGACAATTCAGTCTTCTCGTTCCCTCCTAGCCTGAGTCAACAGCAAAATGACCACATATAGTGACCACCCAGTGTTCAAAGCTAATGGTCTTTCAAGTAGTACAGCAATGCCGAAAATAGACTTATTTTTACTAACTTTCTACTTAACCAGCATCGATTATGACTACTAGGCTGGATAAGGTTTAGTTGAAATTTTGGCTGTGTGAGTGTGAGGCGAAGATGTCCTGGTGAATTGATTACCAATAGACTCCAAGGTGTTCCACGAACTAGAATGCGCCATGGAAATATGGACTATATATATGCAACAGAGAAGGTTACAAAATTATATGGTTTCCTATTTTACTGATTTCCCTCTTTCTACCAGATACAACTGAGTCCACGAAGCGAAGTTGGAAATATCAAACAGCTCGTGGAGTGCACAATGTTACAATCGCTGAATAACGAGGTCGCATTCGCACCCATACAGGCTTAAGGGTACAATTATGAGCTCAGAGACCCCTCAACCAGTCACAAATCAATAGTCACTACACTGTTAAACAAAACCCTTCATTGTATTTTAAGATTAATTTCTGCGACAGACGAAGTATTCCAAAACAAACGTGTTTCACATCGTACCCCTATTTCCTCTATATCGTTGAGTATATCTTGCCACAGAGATTACTGAGCATAAGTCATGGCTTAATTGTGTATCAATTAGCTACAAGCATCAAAAAATCAGAATTCCAACACGGTAAGGTTCATGATTAATCAAAATTATCCGCATTTAAAACATTTGATTTTTTTATCTCTTGATATTCATTGTTAGTGGTACTTAAGATTGACATAAGAGGAGAAACGTATCCAATATTCTACAAATTATGGAATTAATGAAAAAAAGTAATAAACGTAGAAAAACGCGTCTTTCTTTAGAAAAAAACACTGAATCGCTTAAGTATTCACCTTTACTAGAAACAAAATCTCCCTCTCTCCCACACACGCACAAATGCCGAAAAATTTCGTCAAATCAATCTCAAAATAATAAATATGAATTTTTGTTGCATTTATACCATGCGTAATTACTAGGAATATTCATTTCTGATCCTGGTTAAAATGTGGGATCAATAAGACTTCTATTAACCCTTTAACGCCCCTGCAGGAACGTATGATCCTCTTTCAAAATAAGCTCCATTGGTACCAGTCACGCAACAGGAGGTGCTATTGCCGTTTGAAACATGCGAAATGCGTCTATAGACTTCGACTGATACACCGCCAAAACTCATCACGTCGTCGGCATTAGTCCGAAGTGAGACAGGCGTGAGTGTGGTTGGATTCATTTTTCAAACAAAAGTTATTCGGACGTTAAAGTGTTACGTCAGTTCAGTCACGCAATCAGGGTTGTAGGGAGGGGGGGGTGGGGGTGGCTGAGTATATTTTACGGAAAATTGACTGACAAACAGGAAATGATTACGCTAATATAGAATAGTCTGTTGGCGATGTTGATTTGTAGCAATAAGCAATGTTTGTTGAGCTAATTCTTCTCTTTCTGTTGTTGTTGTTGTTGTTGTTAGACAAAATCAATTGTGTAAAGACTCATTCAGTTCACTTCTTTACGGTTTGTATTTGACTTATAGCAACTTGCACAAGGTGATGCGCTGTTTTAAATGCAAAGCATATAGAAGAGAAAGTGATACCTGCAGATTTCAGTCCCCAAGTGCAATTACAGACGCCATCTCTTTATTCGAAGTTCTTCATGGCTTGTAGATATACGTCAAGCTAGATTTTAGCTGAAAAATGTGTACCGAATATCATGTTTCGTTAACAACAGTTCGTATTGCCACTGTATATTTCTCAACGCGGGGTGCGCGATAGACTTACCTCCTCGTGGTGCACCCTGGACAACGTATTTTCTTACGGCAAAAAAGTCTATCAATCGGCATACGTTTTTGACTTCGATTAATTATGATTAGCTTTGAAAAAGGCTATAAGAAAAATCGCCCTCGTCAGGGCGAATCACAATGTCTTCAGATCCTCCAGTGGAATGCTGGAGGAATGTCTCCGGACAAAAAGATCCAAATACAGAAAATCCTGCAAACCTATGATGTAGACATTTTCACAATTATGGAAGCTAACATTTCGGATGGCAAACTGAAGTATTACCAATTCCC